GAGGGGGGCTTCTTCCCCTTGCGCTCAGAGCTTATAGCATTTATGGACTGTTAACTGCGTTGTCAGAGAACATAGAATGGTCCATGACTGATTAAATATTTCAGAAAATTTTATGACAAAACCAACATAGATTACATAGGCCAACTTTTGGAACTGATTTAGGCCTACAGAGCCCTATGTAGGTTTAAATAAATACAGAGAATATTTTGTTGAGAAACGTACAGAAACATGATAAGGAATATGGCAGGCGAAACATTTTCAAACCGCTGTTGGTAAAGATACCACGCTTGTGTCACGCGCGACATCTATCTATGTGGTTCGTAAGACAAATTGCAACATATACAAAAACTGCAGCAATTGTTTACTTGACCCCTGATATAATGCAGTTTCTGTATGATGATGCTAGGCCAGAGCATTTTCAATGTTTAAATCTGTCGGGGCCCCATTGAATGAAACTATGGTATATACTTTATATTATATTTTTTTTTACAAACTACAATGCCAGGGCCCCTAGTGCCTGGAGGCCACTGGATACAAAGACATACCAAGGAATGGGCAGATTGGGGAATCTTTCAATTGGTATGCAGTATGACACCACTTTTAGAATGCAAATACCTGTAAGATAATTAATCATCCCTTAACTGTAGTATTAAAATGCCTATTCATAGACATGTAAAATGAAGTGAAATGATTCTGAACCGTCTCTAAAACACAAGCTTTCTCTCAGTTCCCAGCACTGCTTGCTTTAGTTACTGGGCCAGTAATTATTGTGTGTGTAATTATATAGTGTCCCAGTCCACCCCTGAAGCAAGGAATGAACATTTGTATAAAAAGGATTAAAATATATTTTGAATACAGTAATACTTAAATCCTGAGGATAATTTTTCCTGAAGATGACCCAATAAAGAGACGAGATAAGCATGTATTTCATTTCTTTTCATATTCATATTAATATGTTGCTCTTATATAGCGCTTCATGCACAATGCCTCTAAGCGCACATTACTACCCCGGTCATTGGATCAAACACATATGGAACACATACTCAGCTCCCTGGGGAGAATTCCATTATATTGCAGCTAGTAATCAGCGCAGTTGTGTTCGAATCTACCAGGTACCCACTTGTACTCTAGGGTGGAGAGAGGCAACCGTAGATAAAGTGCCTTGCCCAAGGACACAAGCGATTTGCACAGCGAGAGTTTCAAACCCTCCGAACCCACGACCTTGGGAGTCCAATCCACAACCGATGCGCCAACCGCTTCTACATATTTGAAACTAATCAGTGAACCCACTGGTAATACTAAAATATAATTGAGAATTAGTTGTTACATATAAATTGAAAAGTAATTAAATATTATTGGTGAAAACATTATGTTAAGCATTTAATTTGGTATTTAGTTTGCATTTATTTTCTAAGCTTGGATAGACATTAAAAGCTCCAATAGCTTTTAAATAAATATCCCAGTTCTAATTATTTCGCAATATTCTCATAGACTCTAGGTCCAGTAAATAATTTCATATAATCACTTGTCAACTACGAGGAATAGAATTGGTGAGCATGGCAATAATTGGATTGGATTGGATTTATTCGCTGTAAATACCAAGGATAGGGATAGCCCACGAAAGTCTAGAAGAAGACTTATTTCCAGTGGGGTCCTTCTGGTGGTAATTAAGCAGTACACGGGGTGACAATCTCCTACTCTTCTCCGAAGAGTGTACTGCGTTCTTTAATATGCACATGGGCCATCAGTGCACACGGGATCAACGGTTTAAACGTGTTACGTGAATACTAATAATACCAGTAAGGCGAGATGTTTTTTTCATACCTTGTTTAGCGAACCAGCCGGCCGCCAACAATGATGGTTTCGAATAAAAATAAAATTTTATTTTTTGGCAATTAGCGCAACTGCCATCACGAAAAAATGTAAATTACTAAAAAAAAATAATTTTTTTTATTACGCCCACCGCTGCCTTAAAATCTCCAAAGATAAGATATTTATATTTCTTCCTAATTATATAAACATAAAGCATTTAACCGTCCCATTACTACACTTCACTAATAAAATTATTTTTATTTTCTCCTCCGTCTGGATGTTTTTGGCAAAACCTTTTGCTAAATAAGAAAACAAAATTTTATTTTAAATTTTTTTCCTGCTCTTCTCTGACGATCTTTAAATAAATAAGTTTGCAAAACATGGTATAAAAAGACTATTGATTTATTAAAGATGTTCAACTAACACTTTATTTTCATTGTTCTTCAATGGTGACTCACTACAATGTACATGATAGCGTATTATAATGCAATGAACTATGTGATTTATGTATTCAGTTATTCACATCCAACAGTGAGTACTGTAGCCAATTAAAGGTGACGCTGTATAAACTAAGACTCTTGAGGCAATGGTGTTGTTTTATGTAATAAGAAGAAAAGATTTGAGCATTTGTACGAGAATAAAAGTATCTTAACCACTGAGCTATATCTTGCATCATAAACTCAGGGGCGTAGGGTGTTTTTGGCCTGGGGGTGCGAAAAATGAGAATGCGGAACTAAATTCCTATTCAAATGGTTATTTTTAGTATTTTAACCGACTTAGTAGAAATTGTTTGCTGCCATGGGTGGGGGGAATGCCACACCACCAGACCACACCTATGCTAAACTACTACTACAAAGGAAAAAAAATTGAAAAGTAAAAGGTGTCTGCCAAAAGTATGTACACTGATACAAAATGTAGGTGTGCGATGTAGAAAAGGTAGCAGATTACCTCTAGATCCAATCGCATTTTAGGAATGTGACGTTGCGATGAAAAAAAAAGTTCAGCAATCAAATTGATGCGTCGCATATATTTGATCGAGAGGAAGATTATATATGATGATAGACGTGGCCAAAGTAAAGTTCCCATGGTGATAGGCGTGGCCAAAGTAAAGTTCCCATGGTGATAGGTGTGGCCAAAGTAAAGTTTCTAAATTCCCATGGTGATAGGTGTGCACAGGAAAAGAATATTAACATTTGATTTCATCCGAAATTATAATTATTGGTGTGTGACAGATGAAAAAAAGTATACCATAATGCTGCAATAAGCCAACAGCACTTAGTTAATTTAAAATTTCATGGAAAAATCGGTTATTTATTAGTATCTGTATCTTGACGTACAAACACCAATATGCTGGTTGTCGTGTACCCATACGATCTGAAACATCAAAGCATTTAAAGTCTGCACTTATCTGAGAGTAGCGATTGTTTGATGGCACTATTTATCGAAAAATGTATGGTAATAAAATTATTGCAGAAATCTTGTGATGAGGATAATGTACAGAGTTGTGTTTTGGTACAGGAAAATCCTAAAAATGATTTTAACTGAGCATTGTGAGATTAGAAGAGAGGAGTTCATCTACCAGGCTACATTGCATGTTATGCATCTTTACAAGCCAATGGCCCAGGGTAATATTTATGATCATATTGTTGCAATTTCTTTTGATACTTTTTTGGATTTTGGAAAAAGGTGCTGTTATGTGTATACAGTAGAACTAAATACTTAATAGAATAATGCAGATTTCATGATGAGATTATATTTTAAAAACATTAATACAGACTCATATTTATCATGAAATGTACAGCATGATTTAGCCTTTTGAAAAGACATAGTATGTTGTCACAGGAAGATCTTTATCGCAAATATTGTGGTATTTCGACAGATGACGCTCTCAGAAAAACGTGATTATATATCTGAAGTGTATGAATGATGAGAACTCAACTGACTAGAATACCCATTTTTGAAAAATCAAAAAAATCAAATGCATACATAGATTCGTCTATTAGTGGAGCGTTAACTGAATTTTGTTATACCACATCATAAATCCTTTTCCAGACTGTCAAATTTTATTTGACAAAAACTTGTGACATGCCCAAATATGGTCATGATGACATCACATCATTACCATATATAGGAACATCATAACTATATATGGGCATACAACAGTTTTGATAGTGTGGACAGGTTAGTGAGACTTAGTGATTGATCAGCTCACAACACAGATAGATTCTAAGTGGTTTTCAAGTAAATGAGAGAGCTTGGCAAAAATTCTAGCATCTACTTCACATTTTCAGCAACTCCATCATTCCCCAGCCAATCGATAAAAACCTGTCCATTCTCACTGTCTGTCTAGTCAACACTTTTCTCAATCCACATTTTTCAAAACCACATTATCGATAGTAAAGATTTTCTCCTCCCCAAAAACACATAGTATTTTAACCAAAAATGTTTGTCATGCACTCAACTGAACAATATACAACGAATACATTATTAGTCATTGTTTAAATGTGCTGTATTAAGTCTATTCATTAATATACTAGTGCTGCTGTTAGGTATACAGGTTAGGAAAAAACTCATTTAGAATAGCATTTTTTCTTTTCCATTTCCAAAAATAGCTCTCTGTCAATAATGGTTATTAACTTGGTGATATTTTAGTATTACAAGAGCCATAAAGATTGTCCAAAAGGTCAAAGGTCAAACGTTACCATTACCAGAGCGAAGTTGGGTATTTGAAGAGCAGATTGCTCCAAGTACTATAATCTCATGCATCATACATAAGTACAGTATGTACGGTATATGGAAGTAATAATACGTAGCAAATAGTCAATGGTAACTAAGACAGAATCTATGTTACAATTGAAAAATCATCATAATGAATTTTGACAATTCCGATTTATTCAAAATTTAATGTATAGACCACATGCTGAATACTAGAATGTGGATATGAGTGAGAAAACATAAAACCTGAACAGACAACATTATTTGAAGAAAATTATGATGGTAGGAAAACCATATACCAACCCGGATATTGAATCTTTCAGGTCGTTGGTCCCTGGTTTAGTTCTAATCACTGGTTCCCTTGTGTCCTAGCTGGAGGGCCCAAATACAAGTTATGAGAGCACACCGTCATAATGTGTTGCCCTTGGTGTGTTTTACAGCAAGATGATTCTATCATATCCTATTGATCTTACCTCCATTTGTGTAAGCTAAATCCTTGACAACGGTCGCCACATCGTAAACATGATTGCCCTTTATCAATCTCTTCATAACTAAAACGCTACAAGAGAGAAAAAAAAATGAGTTCATTGACAATACTATTAATCACCTAATTTATTCATTAATATTATTCTTATAAATTCCCCCTCCCCCCTTTGGAGACAGCTGTTTCCCCTCAGGTCACACAGAACAATTTGATGTGAGAAGTATGTTTACAGTACATATTGTGAGACTAAAATTGATTAAATAAAGCTTTCAAAACCCGTTTTTCTAGGGGATTCACTTTTGAACACCTCAAAGGTGTTCATAATAGACCCTGACCATGCCCACCACTGTGAATATCCCCTTCAGACCTCCTTGGTAAATCTCATCATAACCACCATTGAACACAAGCATAAAATTAATTTATTAAATTTGCCGAGTCAGAAAATTGTTAGTGTACACTATACCGATGTTTAATATAAAATTGAAGGGTGTTTATTACATCAGTAAAAGAGAGACTAGTCCTCTGTATTATACAGTATGACACTCGAGACGGAATATTTTTATGACTAAACTAAGTGATGCAATCGGTAAATAATGTCGAACCTCAAGCTTAAGTTACATTTCTTATTACAAATTCACAATATATAACTTTTGTATTAAATACTTGTATCGCAAAATCCCAACATAATCATTAATTTTCGAAAATTAAAACATCACTGTACGTAAAACTGTTAAAATATATGCCGATATTTGAGTTTGATGAAAACTAAACTGGTGCAATTTCTGCATGGATTGCTTTACGTTTGTTTACAACTCGATCTAGGCTATCATCTAGGTTAAAGACGCATCAACGATCTAGGTTAAGACCCTTCAAAATTATAGTAGTTCTCTGAATAAAAGATCATAAACTGGATGATAAATTGACGTCAGAATATGATAGATCTCATCATCATTTTAAAACTAAAATCTATGTTTAGTAGCATGGTAAATCGCTGTAGCGAGCAGGCCTGCGTGAACAAATACACCCACAGACGGCAGCAGTCTTCGTAACTGAGTTTATATTCTACAATTTCACTTGACATTGACTATCATTACCACCACCACCACTCTAATTCCATCCCAGATATTTAATTCACTAAATATGACATGATGATAAATTTTGCCAGCCTGGGATTAATTATTAGTTGAGGCACTATATCAACTAAAATGCTTTCATTCAGTTGTTGAAAGAGTCAATATTCCCTAAACTATATAATGCACAAAAAAAATACCTTGGTCTCGTGCCAATCAATCGGGACTAATTAAAATCAAATTGTAACACATTTGATAATGTCTCCGTTTTGTCAGCACGTACAATATTACTGTGCACCTAAACAGACAATCAGATTTTCTGTCTTTCAATCACAAACATGTTTTATCAGATTTTGACTTAAGTCCTATCCAGACTATCAAGTTTTATCTGACAAAAACATGCTACATGCCTAAATATGGTCATGATGACATCACATCATCACCATATATAGGCACATCATGACCATATATGGGTAAACAACAGTTTTTTGTCAAAGAAAATTTGATTGTGTCGACAGAGTGAATCGAGAGGCCAAGCGGTAAGGCAGGGGCGCCGCTAGCTACAGCATTAACATCGTCGCTGGTTCCAGCCAGTCCTCGCCCATGGTTCCGTTGGTAGAACCGAGTCTTCTCGGATAAGGACTTAAAATGGAGGTCCCGTGTATACATCAGGCTTATGTGCACTTTAAAGAACCCATTACATCGAAAGAGTAGGGGTTACCCCGATGTTATGGTTCATTTCAGCCCCTGTCAATGACGTGGCAAGTTATGGGTTAATTCTCCAACCGTTACCTTCTCTGATTAATCTCAGATAAGAAAGTATAATACATACTCCAAGTATTGAAATACACGCCATCGTGTTGGGATTCAATATTTCGACATTAATTATGTCATCAGATTATGACATAATTAATGTCGAAATATTGAATCCCAACACGATGGCGTGTATTTCAATACTTGGAGTATGTATTATACTTTGTTACCTTCTCCTACCTTTACCTTTACAGTGTATGATAGTTTCAGAAGTATCTGATCATGATCTGATCCAACAAACACTGTGTATTTTACTGTCTATTGAAAATCGTTTGATAGCACTAGACAGCATTACAGTGTATGCTGGTTTCAGATTCTGATCAAACAAATACTAAGTATTTTACTATCTGTTGAAAGTCAGTTGATAGTGTGGAAAGATCTTTAAGGTGTATGATGGTTTCAAATGTATCTGATCAAACAAATACTAAGTATTTTACTGTCTGCTAGAAGTCCTTTCATAGTGTGGACTTGTCGAGACTTAAAAGTCGAAGATTGGATTGGATTGGATGGTTTCAAATGTAGCTGATCAAACAAATACTGTGTATTTTACTGTCTGCTAGAAGTCCTTTCATAGTGTGGAATTGTCAAGACTTAAAATTCGAAGATTGGATTTGATTGGAAGGTTTCAAATGTAGCTGATCAAACAAATACTATGTATTTTACTGTCTGCTGAAAGCCGTTTGATAATGTGGACAGAGTATTATAGTGTATGATGGATTCTGATGTACCTTATCAAACAAATACTGTGTATTTTACTGTTTGTTGAAAGTCGGACAATGTTCTACATTATCTGGCAATGCCTGGTTTTATGAGGTCTCTTGAGGCTGAAGGGCAGAATTCCACACAGACTTGATAAATGTTCATGTTATAATTGTCTGTGATGTAAACATATTTTATTCCAAGCTGAGCAGACCTACTGACATAAGATACCCCAAATGTGTATAAGAGACAG